ATAAAGGAAATGATCACCAACTAAAGAAGCTCTCGATTGTTAAATAATTTCTCCTTGTGAGGACCTCAGGAAATGTATAGAGAACTGTATGGAAAGTATGTATACTGATGTTAGTGTGTGAGGGGTTAAAACATCATCTGTGATCTTTTACTGATTAGAGGTGTTACAAAATGGCATCCACAGCGTAGCAGTATTTGGAAAAATCTCTTTTCCTCTTCCGGTCCCTTTCAATTCTAGGAGAATTTCCTCGGAAGCAAGGGAGATACTTAATGACAGTCTCTAACCAAGAAAGATTGTTGAATATTAACCATATTACTTTCTTTCTCTAGGGGCTCATGAGGGAAACAGCAAGTCAAACTCACGATAGTGGAAGATACACACCCAAACCTATATTCAGCAGCAAAACAGAGAACGTTGCAGAGACACAGACCTACAGTGAGTATCTATCGACAGTCAGCACTCAGATAGCAGCCACAAAAGAACTTCATGATATGCTGTCAGAGTTTTCCTCTGCTCAGCTACCATAGCCAGATTTATATTTAGTGCCAGTTTTCTATTTCAAAGCACCATTATTGTGACCAAGGTCACTTGAACAAATTTAATCAGGCACACTACAAGAAATGGATTTTACTTCCAACTAAATTGAAGAATTGAGATGGAATTCAAGATTGTTTACTGTCATCACGTTGATAATGGCAGATTTTCTTGTAACTGCTTTGTCTTTCTGGGCTGAGTTATTCAAAGCCTTTTAAAAAAGATCTCTCAATTCAAACCGCATGAATTACAGATGGAAGCTCTTGTTGCCCCCATATTCTGCAATTAAAAATTACGATAACATTACAACAAATGAGCAAACTGTGAATGAAAATGTACGTAAGTAATGTATAAGTAATGTACATTAGTACACAACAAAAACATATTTAAGATGCAATTTTGCATTATATGGTATGTCGATAAAATTACCGATGCCGGCTGATAAGAACTAGGCGATGTTTATAGGAAATAGAGAGTATTTGCTTCCCGCGGTATCTGTATGGACCAGTTGAGCCAATAGTACTGTAGTCCGTGTCTGTGTCTGTGTGTGTGTGTGTGGGGGGGGGGGGGGGGGGGGGGGGGGGGGGGGGGGGGGGGGGGCAGAATAATCTGCATGTTACGATACGATACGATACGATACGATACGATACGAGAACTTTATTTGTACAAGGTATTTCTGTCAGTCAATTAAGATACCACACTATCACAACACACTACCACATCTACCTATCTACCTATCTACCTACGATAAAAATAACAAAAATGTTTCATAAATAAAAACTGCTTTTCATGGAGGCCGTGTCTAAAATTTTACTTAAACTTAATATACTACTTGAAACTGTGGCAACTTAATCTAGATTTGAAATCGGTCAATGAAGATGCTTGCCCTAGGTCTATAGGTCTATATAACTGAGCTCAGCTACACGAAAAACTTCCGTTGAGATAATCAGTTCGAGGTTGTGGAAGAACTAGATTGTTTTCGGTATTTCTCAAACGATAAGCACTTACATTGTCACGATAAACGAATCTTGATCTCAAATACTCAGGTGTCATATCATTTGATGTCTTACATTAAGATAAACTTCAGTTCTAACCTTTGATAAAAAAGTTTTCGCCACCCCAGAGCCCGGAAAAGAACATCCAAATTAGTATGATAGCTCACAGACATTAGGTGCGAGCTGCGCCATTTTGAAGCCTTTGGAGTTTTTCATAAAGGCCTTTGTTACAGTTTCCCCACAGTATATTGCAATAATCAAAATGTGGTCGAACAGAAAGACAAGAAAATATGGTTGTTAACAATGATATCTTTACAACGCTTAACACTTACATTTAGATCTAAATTCCCTAAAGTTTTTAAGTGTCGATCCAGTAAACTTCTATTTATCCAAAATATTTTGCGGCCAAATTGCAAAGACACCCGTGAAAGAGAAAATGTTCTCTCAGATAGCAAACTATCCTTCAGTTTTCTTGTCTGTGGAGACGAGAGAGGTCTCTGGCCAAACAGCGTTGTCATTTGCAAAAAGGTAGGATGCGTAGACACTATTGGATAACTTATGTCAGTTTCAAGATGATCGTGGTGACCTGCCGCTTGTGAGGACGATTTGCGTTTAAGCCTTCTAGTTGCAGGCTTTTTTTTAAGATAGCAGCTGTAGCCTACAACGCGAGTTTTTTTGGTTTAGTCGACTTTACGCATCGATCTTACACAACAATCTTACACAACAGTGTATATCCGTAGCAGATACAATCTATATAATTAAACCGGATAACTCAGTCGACGCTAGCTGTCACGCGAAATGTAAAGTTGTCTTCTAAACCTCTTAAAATTTTCTAGCTGAGTGACCCTTTTCATTGCAGCGTTATAGATTTGAAGCGTTTCTAAATTTGCATAGAAATAAGTTCCAGACTTTTCAACATATTTGACCCCGGGCTTGCCAATTTTAATTTAAAAAATGCAAGCTAGAAGGAAAGATTGCTTACTTGACCAGTTCGCAAGCGGGCTAATTTTGAACATAGAAGCATAGCATTTTAAACATAGACACCTTATCGATTTTGTTTTTCAAAAAGGATTTTTAAGTGACCGGAACCGGAAAAGCGGACTGTTTGGATGTGCTTTAATAGGATCATAAGCTAAATTAAGCAGTCTGGCAAGTTGAGTAAGACATTAGTTATTGTGAGTATTAATCTCTAGTAATATGATTCTAGAAATCGATAACTTAGAGGTGGATTGGGTACGGGCAGTTTTTCATAATAGAGCCAATGGCTATGCATTACGCTAACACATTTTACTTGCGAAATTACCGCTTAGGTATCTGTGCCGGCATGTGTTAATAGCAATCATGTAAGCAAGCAACAAGCTTATTTCTAGCTTCTAGAAAGTTTCATTCCGCGAAAAAAGCCGTAAAGCCTTCCCAAGACATAACTTCCACTAATCCTTTTCCCAGTGTGGGTTTTGACCGTTGTTTTCATTGTTTTGGTGTATCCGTCGAATACCTTTGATGTAATAGTCTAGTGTTTATGTACGTAGGTAAAATACTCATTTATTGACCTGTCTCGTCCCAAAACAAACCTCTGTCCGGTTGTGGTGTTTAGGTAAACCGGAGAACAAAATAGGCGAATATTCGCACCAGTACAGATGTTGACACATAGGAGCGGGAAATATTTGACTGTTAGATGTAGTACATGGAAGTTTTGATCGACAGTCTGTGGAATTCGGCCCGAACGTTAATTGAACAATGAGGAATAATAGCGTGTCGGCAAATTTTTTAATTTTAATACCAAATACTTTCCTCATGGCGACCTCGGATCGCAGATCTTTGCAAA